ATGCAATAGTGCCAGCACTGCTGATTGGCCAGGCAGGATCCATGCAGCCGTGTTGGTGCTGCTGACTGGCTTGGGCAGGGGACAGAGTTTCCTTATACTCTGTGCCTGGGAGGGCCTCCAGCCCCAGCCAGAGCTGAGTTGTGACTGACAGTAAGGGGGAAGAAGGTGCTGGACAGGGGTAGGGAGCAGAATCTGCAGAGGGCAAGAGGAGTGGGGCAGGCAGCTGCCATGAACCGGAGTCAGAGTTGCAGCAGCTGCCTGCCCTCCCCACCTGCAGCTTTGTATGCAAATATAAGATATGGGGCTTTCTCCCCCATTTTACACTTATGTTATTTAATTAAATATTTCCAAAATACATTTCACTCAGAAATAAAAGCAGCTGCAGGTCAGGTATTTCAGCAATAGATAATCTGCACGGTCTGCATAGCTGACGGCAAGTTTCTTCTGCTCAAAAGCAATGGTTGGCAACCTTTCAAAGCTGTAGGCCAGACTGAACCAGTTTGGGTCAGAGGCAGGTGGACAGGTGCCAGGACCCAGCCACTGCCACTGCTTTTACCCAGGGTGGCACAGAAAAGTGACTGCTGCCAAATCCCTCCACTGCTGAATGTTGCATGTCTGTGGTCCAGAGCAAAAGGCTCCCTGGATCGGATCTGGCCCAAGTGCCACAGGTTACTGACCCCTACTTAAAAACACTCACAGTGGGTGTGTCTACATGAGAGACACACAAAGTGTGATGCCACAGGTATGTTGCCATAGCAACGTGTTCCCTTGCTATAGTGTGTCGCTATGTTGATGCAGCAGCTAAAAATAACCACGTGCCACCAGCGTGATGCAATAATGGATGTTATTGCACCATACGGGCACATGCAGATGTGCCCACTATGTAGACAATCTCATACACTTTTTTGCTAATATATATAATCTCTCAATGAATGACGGGTAGTTTATTCATGCTTTATATAAAATAATATTACTATAAAATAGTAGTAACAAAAAAGTAGACTTACAGATCCAGATATAGCCCCTGATGCAAAACACATCATAAATGTTGGTTCATGCATGTCATATCTCTTGCACAGCCCCTCCTTGAGGTGTTCATAGTTGTACCAGTACATTGCTGGAGGTATAAAAAGACCAATAAAACTCCAAAACCATAAATTTGCAACAAGCAACAAACTGGTATACTGAGCACAGTCTCCAGGTGTGCTCCTTTTCCAGAGAAGAAAATAGCTTCCCCACTTAAATGCTGATTGGGGGCAGGGAGAGAAGAGAAGAGTGTGTTGTATAGGAGAAAATACAGTATTCAGGTAGCCAGTACTCTAGTTTAATCACTGCTCTGTTCCACTGTAGCAATTCTTTTGTTATTAAACACTACAGCAGTGTGTACAATTGACATGGAACAAGATTTTTTTAAAAGTTACTTTGTTTTACATTTCTTCACATGAACTAGACAGTTTATAAAATACATTTTATTGCATTTTCAGTTATTTTACACTTTATATAAACCTTATTAACTGTTTTACAAAGTTAAATGTGGACTTCCATGAGAGAGAGAGTTACGTGCCATCCCCCAAAAACTATCTTAAATCTTTATCCTGATGCTGGCACACAGGCACTGGGAATGCTTCAGCAAGGGGCTACAATAAGACAACTTGAGGAACAATTAAATTAAAGGGCTACCGTTTATATTAGGGTTGGGCAATTATTTTGGATGGAGGGCAGCTTAAGGAGGTTTGGTTAGCTTGAGGGCTGCATAGGTAGCCCTGCCCCTTGATAGTTGCCCCACCCCCTGGTCGCCATCTTGGGACTAGACATACCACCCCTAACCCCTGACCTTTGCCACTGGAAATCCCTCCCCTTTTCCTCCTGGAAATACTCCTTTTGGGGGTGCCATTTTGGAACCAGAAAAATAATCAAATCATACACTAAAAATCAAACACCTATGACATATTTTAATTTTATTACAAAAAATAGTTTTGTCATGATTTGTGTTTGCGTAGTGTATGTAGAGGTGATTGCATAACTCAAAAGCGGGGGGTTATAAGGAGGTTGGGGGGTCACAGGGTATGTTGGGGGGTATATATATGTGGGGGGCTGTGGGGGCAGGGTGGAGGGGTGTGGGGACCACCCTCTGCATTCCCCCCATGGTGCAGCAGCAGGAGGGGGCACTTGGGGTGTTCATGCCCAGTGCTGGTGCCTGGTGGGGTGCAGCTCTGGCCAGCACTGCACATCACAGTGAGGCACATCCCCTGCTGGGCAGTCTCTATCACCAGTGCTCCCTGCCATGCATGCACAGCCCCCAACACTCGTGCAGCGAGGGAGGGAAGCCCCGCATGCTGGAGCTGGCTGTCTTCCCTGTTCCCTGGATCTGTGTAGCCAGGGGTGGCAAAGGGAGCTGGCTCCAGTGCACAGGGCTTCCCTCCCGTGCCGCAAGAGCACAGGGGCTGCCTAGCAGGGGCTGCACCCCTCATCACAATGTACAGTGCTGGCTGGAGCTGCATGCTGCACGAGCACCCAAAACAGGCATGAGCGCCCCCACCTGGTGCTGCTACTGCTGCTGCCACCACCTGCGGGGCCGTATTTTGTCTGCCCCCAGTTTATATTGTGTTCCACAGTCAGAACTGCAGCACTTGTCTCTGCATTGTAACCACAACTAAGTGCACTGGTTGAGACAGTACTGAATTACAGAGGAAACTGTTGAAATAGGCTGGTAGATGTAGGTACCATGAACTATAAGGACTGCATGTACACCCTGACAGATCAATTATGCCTCATTTCAGTTTTGCCTTTAGAAAGCGATAAACAAAGGCAAAGATTTAAGATTTAATCTTGAATATTTCTGCAGTGTGGCAGCTCTCACTCTTAGCTAACTCAAGAGGAGCTAACTTGAGTGGAAGGAAATGTGGAATGCTAATGTGTGGGCTATAGATGGCAAAGTTGAAGTTGCACTGGAGTAGTGGCAAGTACTTAGCTTTCTGTTTCTTAGTTTTTAGAGAGTTGAAATTTGCCATCGTCCACATTTTGGAAGGCAAGAGATAAGGTTAGGCAACCTTAACCCTATGTTAATAAAGTTTCAAAAACATTCATCAGGTTTATTTATTTATTTATTTATTTTAAAGATAAATAGACTTTTTTCTCTCCATATATGTCAGCCTAATTTTCCCCCTGGCTGCCTCTGGCTCTTTGTCAATAATCATCCTTGATACAGAAGTCATTAGTTGTCCATTTAGTACAGCACAGCATACTGTTTCCTCCCCAGTTCTCTTCTCTGCATGGAGCTGGGCATGGACAAGACTTGCAGACTGAGGAGCAGATGCTCCAGCAGTGCAGTAATTGACATGTAGTTATGGGGATATATAACAAAGGTGGAACAGAAGCGAGTGTCAGAACAAAAATGGGGAAAACAGAGCAGAAACAGCCTCCTTTTCTCCTCACATTCCCTTGTACTGTTTGGCCTCCCCTTTCCAATACGAGCAGCAACATCAAAAAGAAGGGTCATCCCTTCCCTAGTGCCTGAGGGAGTATGGGAAATAACGGAAACTGGAGTTTCCTTTCTCAGATCAGGAAGTAGTGGAGGAATTCCAGACTCCCTTGAGTCACTTAGCCTGGCTAAGAGCTTTTTTGGGGGCAGGAGGTATATGTAGTAGGATGGGGATGGGAGAACATAAATTACTCCCTTTGACTTCCTCCTGAAGTATGTCACTGGAAGGGAATGTACTTAATTTCTCCTCCATCTTCTCATTTGATTCTTTTAGTGCTTCTAGGTGCTTCAGTACTTTTCCTCAAAAAGAAAAGGTCCTTTTGAAGACCCTTACTCATCATGGCATCATACAGACTACACCTTTGGAAACCCAATTCTCTGACAGTTCTCTAGTCATTGAACATATCATTCAGGTGGTCCCTTACACCCCTGTTTGCTGTAACCCCTTCCATGCCCATTGCTCTAACCACCCTTGCAAATCACAAGTAAAGGATTTTGACTCTGGTGTGGATTCTACAGGGCAGTGTTCATTTCCATGAACCAGAGGTCAGCATGGTTTCTAGCATGGGTCAGAGGCAGGCTGGCATTAGGACCTGACCACTCCTGCTTCTCCCTGCTGTTCAGCTGCATTGCAGTGTGGCAAAGGATACTCTCCACTGGAACTTATGCTGTCTGGCATGGCCAGAGCTCCCCCTCCACCAAAGCCCCAGGTAACCAACAGCAGCATGGTGCAGGGAGTATTCCCCTTTGCCAGGGCCTGAGGTGTCTAACAGTGGTGCAAAGCAGAAAGACCCCCATGCTGCCAAATGCTGTTGAAGGCATGGCTCTACAAATCAGATACAAAGGCTCCAGGGGCCATAGGTTGCTAATCCCTACCACAAACCTCTGACTTAGTGCACTGCTCAATGTTTCACTCACAAAAACATTCTGAAGAAGCAGACTTACATAGATGTCTTACTCCATGTAAACAAAAGTACAAGTGCTTTGCAGCGCAATAACGTAACTTTTGAAATGTATCTGAATTATTCTTCAGTTCTTTTCAAGAGCTGATCTCATAGGTAGTCCATGCTATAATGAGTAGATGTCAGGGTCCTAGATTCCCCTAGCTTTGCATCAGAAAAACTGTGAAGATCTGAAAATCTTAGAAGCAATTCATTATAAGGCAGGGGTGGGCAATTATTTGGGCTGGAAGGCGATTTATTGCGTTTTGGTGAGCTGTAGAGGGCTGGGGAGGGAGAGGGTGCAGCCAGGGAGATGCCAATTGATCCTACCCAGCCTGCCAGCCACCACTGGGAACCTTAGGAGGGAGTGCTGCGCCCCATGCTGCTATGCTCTGCTCCGCTGTAGCCAGGTCGGGCCACGCAGCGTGCAGACTCCTCCACCTCTCCTGCATCCATCCCCCCCCACTCAGCTTGCTGTTAGCACTGCATAGTCCTGGTACCGCAGCTGCCAGCAGCTGGACCTGCACAGGATGGGGTGCAATGCAGTGAACTGAGTAGCCGTCCCACCCACCTCCCCACCCACTGCAATAAGCCACTGCACCATACCAGGAAAGTGATAACACTCATGTAATTTTCTAAATATTATTTTTATGGGAGTTTTCTCTCAGAAATGTGTTGTTTACATAATCCCAAATTTGGACCACCAACCACAATCTACACCCCAAAAAATGTAATACATTTCAAGAAAATCCAAGTCTGTGTGGATTTTATAGCACCGGGAACAGTCATCTTTTGAATAATGAGCAAAGCACAATTTTATCTATAACATAGCACATTATGAAATTCTGAGAAAAAATTCTAAGGGGACTGACAAGCAAATTATTCCCCATAACAAACTCTGAAGAGAAATAAACCCTACCTGAGAAAGGAACATCTCTAAGAACAGTAGGACCCCAGCCTCTCCACAAAGAAAGCCAGCCATCTTTGGCTATTGTGTTACTGATGCACACATGTAATTGCCTGTAAGATAACTGGCGAGCCTGAAGTTTAGTTCTAACCAACTCCAGGGGACTTATTACAGTTACTGAACCCACTGAAAAGGAGAAAAAGATGAGACGTTATCAATATTTAAAGCGAAAATTCTGTTCACAGTGCAGTTTCCCAAGAATGTGCTCTCCTTCCGTTTTCATATTTTCAGCTTTGTCATAGATATCTCTCCCAAAGTTGCTGCTTAAGTTATATTAACTGTACAACCTCCCATGAAGGTGAGAACAATCTGATCATACATATGACCCCAGATTGGCGACTCCAAGGTATCATTTAAATTTATACTTCAACAAAGATAAAAATGGGCTAAAATGTCAGCAGGTTTTTGTTAATAACCTGATTTTAAAATGTCAATTCCTGCATTAATCCTAAATTCTACTTAAAAAAAAGTTTTGCTTCTTGTGTATTAAAAATTAAAATGTAGCTCTCATTTTTAAAGTCCCTTTTTCTCTTTGTAAGTTACTTTTAAGTGGCTCATCCATTCTTTTTCTTTAGAAATATCAAGTCAGGCATTCTTTGTTTCTAGGAGGAGTCAGATCTCAGCTGGGTCTATTATGAACTCTCTTACCATTTAACTTAAGAAGCAGGGAGAAATGACCCTAAACAATCACACCCTTCCTACTAGCATCCTGGCAGATGAAGATATTTACCTTACTGACTTCAACTAATAGGAGTGATAAAACCTAAGGTATTGTCCCCATTAAAAAGAACTGCAAGCAGAAGTACACTAGCCAGCAGTATGAAAAGATCACATCCTGCAGGCCATATAGATCTCCCAATGAAATCCCCCATGTGAATACACATCTACTGGCAAGAGAATGTTTCTGCCTGTTGAGCTGATGTCCTTTTAGGGGAGCTAGTGTAGCCAGCAAGCGAAAACTACCTTCTGCTGGCAAGCTTGCATCCATACCAGGGGATTCAGCCAGTGGATCTTTCCTGCTGTAGTTGCAATTGCAAAACCACCATGGCAGCAGAGTGAGTCCAGACCCAGTGCCAGCTAGAAGGGAGGCCTGTGGTACCCCATGCTCTGGGCTCAGCTCCTGCACTGCACTAGGCAGCCTCCTTCGCTACCACTCTGCCCCCCCCCCTTGCAGCATCTCCTAGATGCCCCTCCCCTTCCATCACAGGTACCAGCCCCTTGGTGTCACTGGCCCAGCCACGCAGCTCCCCACTGCCTGCCCCCTTCGCCTGCCCCCTTCTGCTGCTGGAGGGGCTTCCCCCTGCCCCTGTACCCTGCTGCAGCCCTAGCACCTGGACACCATCCCCCAGTGCCGGCAGGCACACACTCCCCCTCGCACATCCATCCCTTCCACACCCCTCCCCAACCGTCCCCAAGCCCTGGCCCTCCAACCCCCATTCCCCACAGACTTTCCTGCATCCAGCTGCTGAGGCTGCTCCCACCACCCCTCCAGGCCTCATGCCAGCCACATGCGTGCACGCTCAGATGCACATGGTGCTCGCTGCCTCCAATTGTCCTTCCCTTGCTCCCACCAGCAGAGCAAAGCAAAATCCTGGACACTTGTTTAGATTTAAAAAAAAACACCCAGTTGGAGGACACAAAAAAAGGATATGTCTGGGGCCAGATGTATGGTAACCCTACATTACCTTTAAACTAGTATGTGACAAAAAATATTTATTATTAGAACCACTGGAGACAAGGATTATTTTTTCTCTTGAAGAACCTTTAAGACAAGATATAAGTTACAAGAAGTTCCATGTCTAGGATTTCATAATACGCCTTTCAGTAACGCTGCTAAGGGCCTGCCAATACATTCAAATTGAAGCTGGATAGAAATCAGCTATAAAGTTGTTATACATTTTCAAGCACCAACTTTGTAACTGGTTGATGCTCTTTATAGCTGGATGTATATTTTTATGCCATGATAATTATTTTGCATGTGTGGCTAGCCTAAATTTATTGCGCAACTAACCAGTTACAGTAGTTGTGTAATACATGTAATGTGGCAGGGGCCTAAGAGAGACATAGCTAAAAAGCCTGCCTGAAGTGTTTCCACAGAATGTTACCCGAGTTCTAGTAAATAAATTAAATATAAAAGTTCTTCTCAAGAAAAAGTAGAATCTAGCTCCCATTTAAATTAGAACTAAGTTAAATAAGCATGTAATGTTGGGTTTTGTGTACAGTGCCTGCTATGACCAGGTATACTTAATTTTATCTTTAAACCACACCAAATGGGGCTTGCAATGTAAAATATCAGGAAAATAAATAGTAAAAAAAAATACTGTAATGTATAGATAATTTAACTCACATCTGCTTAAGGAGCCAGCCAGAATTGGAATGAAGTCACCTTTTCCTAATGTAGCTCCTAAAGCTTCACTTAGTTGATCATAGCAAGTAAAATAAATTACTGTGGTTGGAAGTGCCATCATTCTAAAATACAAATGAAAGAAATCTCAGTTACCACAAAGAAAAAAACTCCAAAATCATTGTGATTAGTAATTCAATCTGAATTTTTTGCTTAAATAAAAAGATTAAAATTTAAATTATGTGTAAATGAGAAAAATCATCATAAGCTTGTAGCTCTCAAATTCCTGTTAAACCTCCATTAACGAACTGTGTGGTAAAGATTCAAATTCCTTCTGGAATTTTACCTTAATTCATGCAATTGTTTTCATAATCTGACAGACTACCCTGCTAAATGGTCTCACTTTTGAAGCACGCTTTCTATGATTCAGCTTTAATACTGATGCTTTTCTTTAACTTTGGCTATTATTTCTTTTTATGTAGAACAGCCAATTAAATTAAACTCCACCTGTTTTCTGTTGATTCCTTGTGAATACTTCAACCATAAGCCAGACACATGGAGCTTTGGAAACAGTCACAAATGAAAAATTGGTTATTTCTGGGCAATTTTTCTTTTTTCATGAACAAAAGGTTCAGTAAAAAATGTGGGCTTGTCACCCTGAAACAATTCACAAATTTAACCCAATTTCATTAAATAGTTCTTGCTGGAAAAATAAATAGTGGAGATGCTATACTTTTTTTCAAATAGCTTATTAGCTAAGACATTCATCCTTGATAAAGGAAACCCAGTCCAATTCCAATCTCTACCTGAAATATCACAATTTCCAGGCAAATATTTTTACCATCAGACTGTTGAGTATGCTGGGGTGCATGCTCTCAGTTCCTCTTGCTGATGTTATTCCGCTTTCTATAACATATGTATATATTATTTGCTGGTGCAGGAAGTAGAGGTTCAAGTGTTCCTCCCTGTATGCTGCAATGTCACTCCCTTTCTTCCTCACTCTCTGGGTCAATGAGTATTTAAGTGTCTCATAAAAAGCTGAACAACATCAGTAGGAGAAATAAAGAATAATGCATCCCAACATATTTGATACAGTGACTAAGGCACTCTCCTCCAAGGTGGCTCATGTGCATTTAAGTCCACTTGAACTGAAAAAGTAATTAAATCTGTATCTCTCCCATCCTTGGCAAGTATCTAACTACTTGACTATTGGATAAAAGGGGAACTAATTATTCATCCTCCTGTTTTGATAGTCCATCCTTTTGTTCCCTTTGAGGATTTTTTAAGTGCCCAATGAAATTTTGTGTAAGGCTGAAAACAAAATGATTTTTTTTCAGTGCAACCCCCCTCCTCCTAAAAAAATTATTTTGGCTGAACTGGAACCATTATTTTTATTTTTTCATGCAAGCTAAAGAACTAGTGCAGGGGGACTGGACCTGAAAATCTACAAGGTCCCTTCCAGCCCCTAACAATCTATGAATCTATGAACTGTTGTAATGAAACAGCTGAAATAGAAAGAACAATGTATGAAGCATGAATGGTTCAGACAGATTTAGAATCCTATGGAAATAGATACTAAACCTAAATTTGTATTTACTTTGCTACTTGTCTACCTGGGTCACATCTGGTTGGACAGGCACCTGACTGAAATGATTTAGTTAGGGATGATTTTGCCTTGAGCAGGGGACTAGACTAGATGACCTCATGTGGTCCCTTCCTGCTACACTATTCCATGATCCTATGATCTGTTAATCTTACTACTTTAAGAAAAAAATGGGGTAAGTACAAATAAACTTTTATATTCTTTAGCACAGTAAAGTTCATGCAAACTATCGGTATATTCCATTATCAATACACGTATCACTAAAATAATTTAGTCTAATATGATATCGAATAACTTTGAAATAACTGCACATAAATGACCCTAGCCTGCCAATCCACTTCCCAAAAACAGCATTGGATGAAGCTGACAAATCAGGTTTAATAAACTTCATGGAAAACCAGGCAGTTATAGTGTAGACCTCTCTTTAAGAAGTGTCTTTCTCCAATCAAGAAACCAGTTCTATTCTTAGGCCACAGACAAAAGAATCTGCACATTGATATTACATAAAAACAGTTTGCACAGTAGTGTAAAATCATGATAGGAGCTAAGAAGTTGTTAGAAGTCAGGCAGAAGGTAAGGCAAGGTAGCACCTTAAAAACTAACTGGCTCAGAGAGCGATGAGCTAACAGACAGAAACTTAGCACCTGGTTACATTAACTGAATATGCTTACACAACGTGGTGATTATGCCACCTCACTGCTAGGTGGTAGAGAGACAGGTATCTCCCAGTACCTCTTGTGGCCTGCTTTCTTGGTGCCTTGTAGCATAGAAACAGCTATTCCTTTTGGGAAACCAGGCCTGAAGTGCCTGAAGTCTCAGGTGTAAATTTTCACTGGTTAAAGCCACAGAATTACTGTCATTTCACATCCTCTGCAAGTACAGCATAGACCCTTTGTGTTTTGAGCTCCTTTCTACATTGCTATCATATGGCAATATACACGGCATTGCAGCACTGAGTCTGTAGTCACCTCATTACCCTTGACAGCATGAATACCCAAGTTGCTGAGGTGACTTACCAGAGTTATGGAATTCATAGATTCATAGATGTTAGGGTCGGTAGGGACCTCAATAGATCATTGAGTCCGACCCCCTGCATAGGCAGGAAAGAGCGTTGGGTCTAGATGACCCCAGCTAGATGCCTATCTAACCTCCTCTTGAAGACCCCCAGGGTAGGGGAGAGCACCACCTCCCTTGGGAGCCCATTCCAGACCTTGGCCACTCTAACTGTGAAGAAGTTCTTCCTAATGTCTAGGAATGACTGACTGATCTCAGTATATAATGGAACCACATGACATGCTCGTGGCAAAAGCCAGAAAGCTGCTAAAAGACTGTGAAAACTCAAACAGTCACAAACCCAAGCAGGACAGCCTGCTTTGGACACTGTACACTGTGTACCCTGGTTCTGGGTATGGGAAAAAGTGCTGACTCAGAAAGCACTACTGCAGATATGGGACAATCAGCAGTGGTGGGAGACCATCAGGATGATGAATGCCACATTCTTTTAGATTTACACAGAGTTAACCCCAAAGCTGAGGAAGCAGTATACCAACCTAAGAGTTCCTCTGAGTGTAGAGATATGGATGGCAATAGCCCTTTGGAAACCTGAGACCTCGTGACTCCCACCTGCCCATGGCAAAATGGACATATTTACTACTGGATCTGCCATTTGTGAGGTTTGTGCAACCAAAGAAACACTTTCTCCATATTTCCAGTCCTCAGGAGCTCACCTATAAATTAACGCATATGGAGCTCCCCAATTGCACTGATGTGATTTATTGCATTTATAATCTAAGCTTTTGTCCTCTCCACTGTAGCTTGCAGTACATCATCAGAAATGACTGTCTTGGCTGCATTGGAGGATGCTGTACATCACCGTGGGAGATTCATGGATGTCACAGCCAGATGGTCATTAAAGGTACCTCATGCCAGGGTTTTCCATAGCTGTACACTTGACTTCCTGTGATGAAGCAGGGACTGTTTGCCAATGTTTATGCTGGAAGCAACATCAATGGAGTGATCCTGCCCATTGATTCTAAGTGACCCAGTTTTCCCACTCTTCCCATGGCTTATAAAGTTGTGCATAGGGCATTTGAAACCTACAAAGGAATTATTCAATTACCAGCCTGGCATCTGCAGAGTGATTGTGGAACATGTCTCTGGGCAGCTCAAGCCCAAGTGGAGGGTGCTCAGCCTTCAGCTGGACCCATCCAGCCATCACCTTCCCAAGATGATGCTAGCTTGCACATCCTGTAAAACATTTGCAAAACAAGGGGCAAATCACTGGATGAAGAGTGGGCAGTAGAGGCCAAGCAACTTTCTCAGCGGTATTAGCAACCACAGCCAGTATTCCATGAAACCACCATCGGCAAAAATCTCATGCAGGATGCCCTGATCATCAGGGATCCAGATTTTCCATTTCCCACAGAAAAATGGAGAAAAATGTGGATTTCTTGTTTTAATGGAAAAACATGTGGATTGTCCACTTTTGCAAAGAGCTCTCTGCAGGCTGGCAGAGTTCCAGCCTGCAAGGACTAGGGGGAGCAGGTGCATGTTTATGCACATGGCTGCCAGGCAGCCTGGAGAGCAGCTCTTGCAGGTAAGTCTGGGGGAGGGAAGGGGGAAATTGGGGTCCCCATAGGGAGGGAGGGAGTGAGCTGGGCAGGGCTAGGACTGGGACTGGGTCTGCTGCCCAGCCAGGCGATGTGTGGGGTTTGAGGCCTGGGGCTGGAACATGTGGCCACAGGTCCTGGGCAGGGAGCAGGATGGGGCCTCAAGCAGCTAGTCCAGGAGGCAGGGGGAGTGAGGCTGGCTCCCTACTGCTGTTTACAGTCCCAGGGGACACAGGGGGCACATGCTCCCCACATCTGTGCATGGGGCAGGGGCAAGCTGCCTACTGTAGGCTCGAACTCCCTGCCCTCCCACAGCGGGTGGGACCCAGCACAGTAGGGCAGACCAGGGCCAGGTGGAGAAGCTCCTTGCCACTGTGAGCGCCATGCCACCCTGGCAATGCACCCCCTGCCCACCCCACAGCAAAAGGAGTTGTGCCCCTTGCTGCTGTGAAGCGGCCAGGGGCCACGTCGCCAAGCAGGTGCAGGGCTCACAGTGGTAAGGAGTTTCCCTGACCAACCCCACTCTGCCCTGCCATGCCAGGTCCCACCCACTGGGCTGCTGAGGCCCTGAGGGAGCGCAGCAGGGCAGGGAGCCCAAGCCCACAGTGGGCAGCCCACCCCTGCCCCATGCACAGATCTGGGGGCACGGGTTCCCCCTGACACCCCTGCAACAGCAGGGAGCCACGCCCCCCACTGCCCGAGCCCACAGCAGGCAGCCCGCACCCACTCCCCCCATGGGCTCCGTTCTGCTTATGCCACCCATGGGAAAGGGAAAACCAGGCTCCACACTTTGCTATGCTGTAGCAGCTGCCACCTCTGGCAAGCAGCAGCTGCAGCTCAGGTGCTGCTGTGGGAGGCAGGGGGCTGCATACCTAGGTTCCTGGCCTGATAGCCCTGGCAGCTGGGGGCCCCCTCCAGCATGGGCATTACTATCAGGGCCAGGGGGCTGTGGCTTGGGAGTGAGAGGCCTAGGCCTATGTTCTGTGAGCTAAGGGGGCATGGGGAGCATTACTTTTCCATGATAAAAAACTAGAGGTGCACCAATACATCGGTCCATATCATATTAGCACTGATAAAAGGAAAATTGACATTACTGGCTACATCAGCCAAAAAAAGCCAATTGCTGATAATGTCGCTGATAAATGCTGCATACATATGCAAAATCGCACCATGCATGTGGCCAGGAGTGCGGCCCAGCAACATGGAGAGCAGCATCTGGCTGGTCAGTCTGTTGGGGGAAGGGGAGGGTTGGAGTGTGGGGAAAGGCAAATGGAGGCCCCCGCAGTGAGGGAGTGAATGGGACTAGGGCAGGTGCTGCCCAGCCAGGGTTGGGTAGGGCACGGGACAAAGCCGGCTGCTCGTCTGGGGGAGGACCGCTCCTGCCACTGAGTGCACCCCTGGGGGAGGTATGGGGGCCACATCCTCCCACCCCACTGGATCTGTGTGCAGCGCTAGGATGCACTGCGTGCTCAGAGCAGGGGCTGCTCCAGCCTCTTCCTGGAGGCTGCCACTGGGAGGAGGGTCTATGGGAGAGGCTATAGCCACTCCAAAATTCACCATAGTTCTGCTCTCAGTGCCACCGCCTCCTGCCCTGGCCCACCTGACCTGAGCACAGCTGCCTGGAAGAGGCTGGCGCAACCACTGGCCTCAAATATGCAGTCCGCCCTCGCCCCACGCACAGATCCGAGTTGGCACATGCCCCCCATCCCTCACTCGGGGGTGCAGACAGCAGTGGGAGATGGCCCCTCTCCCCACCCCCAAGACGAGCAGCCAGCTATGTCCTGCGCCCCACCCTGCCCCAGCTGGGCAGTGCCTACCTCTGCCCCAGCCCCACTCGATCCCTCACCACAGGGGCCTCAATCTGTGCCCCCCATGCTCGTTCCCCACTACAGACTTACCAGCCAGATGCTGCTCTCCATGCTGCTGGGCTACATATTGGCAATTGGATCAGTATCTGCCAATATGGCTGGTCAATAATTGGTCATCAGTATTGGCCCCAATTTTTTTTTTAATTGGCACACCCCTAAAAAAAACCCCAAAATCAGATACCAAAACGTATAAGTATTTAAAATGTATTTTCTTATAATGATTGAGGCACTGGTAGGCTTCCAAATTGCTTTAAAATTGTAAATATATCAATAAAACATTGTGTTCAGTTGATACCTATATATAGTGGCGTTTCATTTTAATAATGGATTTTGTTGGCTTTTATCAGAGAATTTGTGATTTTTATCAGAGAATTTGCAATTTTTTTATCAGGGAAAATCAGGATCTCCCCTGATCATTTAAGAAGTGATGGGAGAACTGAACAAGAAGCAGGTTCACATTTTGCTGTTTGTACATGGAGCCAATTCTATAAAAATCATGGAATGAACAAAGCTATTTTTATTTAGCAGACAAACAAATTAAATAGTGCCAAATGATCAAAGTGCCCTGTTAAAGAAAAAGGACTTTATGGGAGAATCTACACCGAGTGAACAGAGCAGGAGGCAATGAGGAAAAAACTTGTATTATACTGACCGTTAACTCCTATGGGTGAATTCAAAGCCTCACTAGTCACTACGCTGCTCTGTACCCTGCAGACTGGAGTCCCACAGCACCAGGCCCAAGTGAGAGCCACAGGGATAGAAAGAGCTCAGCTGTCATAAAAAGCTGTTCTTTCTCTTCAGAAAAAGAAGCAGAAGCTCAGCATACTGCTGATTCCCCTAGCATGTGGTATTATCAAGCAAAGTAAATTGGACAGCTCCAATGCACCATGGAAGCTGTTAGATGGAGGCCAGGGATGAATGCTGGGTATAGGAGAGAAGGCCACACAAGGGCTGTCTTCTTCCACTCAGTCTGGTGGAACAAGACACTAAGCACTGACCACTGTCTCTCTCTCTTTCCCAAACCCTAGGTTATTGTTCAGATGCTCCAGTGTCATCTTCACCCTGCTTGCCACAGAGCTCCTCCTTCCCTGTTTCACTGCAGACCACCTAGCCAGTGATGCCTTCTCTCATCAGGGTGCCACAGTAGTCCTGGCAGAATTCCATCCAGGAGGGTGAAATGTCCATGGATCTCACCCTCCAAAAACACCAGCTCCCTATCCATTTCTATATCATCACCTTTCTTCTCCAGTACATTTGCTATTGATGGCAGTGACTTCGGGGTCCCCAGAACTGCAACTACTGAACTTGGAAAGTGAAAAATATAATGAATGCATGGTGATTTTGTTCCAGCCTCAGCTGGAGACAATCCCTTAAACTACCTGTAATTTCTGGGATTCCATTGATAAACTCTTCCTAGTCTTGAGAGACCTCTGCAACAGTCCAGTGTCCCCTGCTGCTCCATTGTGCCAGTGGGCAACCAAGGTTGAGGAAATGCTGGGATGAGGCTACTGAGTCTTCTAGTGTCTGGTTCTCATAGCACCAGAGAAGCTAATGTCAGAGGTGAGTTCAGAGAGCTACCACAAGGGAGGCTACAAAGCAGTGTAGGATTCTATTTGGCTAACCAATCACCCAGATAAAAAAGAAGATAGAGATGAATCTGTATCAATATGGATTTAGACCTGTTTCATACCAGGGTAAATTTGTCACTAACTGGTTGGAGTTATACCTATTTTGAGATATGTCATCTATCTGTAGCTTTTTCAGCTAGTATAAAGCTAATTGTTTAAATGTCTTCTTGGTGTACACCTTTAGTGAGTGTGACATGAGTGTTGAAGCATAAACTTTCTGACTTTCTTGGCTCAGACATAGGCCCCTTAATTAACTTACGCACCAATGACTTTGAAGCCTTGTCCTTTGAAACAGCTAAGTGCTAGAGTACAAACAACAAGCTTAATTTAAACAGCGCTTTACTTTTGTTTACATATACATATTTAGCAGTGTGTGGTCATTGAAGGCAAACATAAGAGGTTCCACTGGGTGCCATGAGTTGTGGCAGGAGACTTGCAGTGTTATGTCCTGTACTTCATGAAACACAAAGCTCACTTTAAGGATAATTGCTGGGTTTGTCCACTTGGTTGAGATTAAAAATGCAGTAATGGTGTTCTGTAGAGGTCTGAATTACTATCCTTGTCAGGCTGCCATAATGCTATGAAGAAAGACAGTTGCTAGACAAGGAGTTAAGATATTGCCCTTAAAGGTTGGAAAGGGGCTATATGGAGAAATCTCACTGTCTGGCTGAAAATATATCATCTCTGGAGGTTTCAGGTAAACTTAATATTAATGTACAGATGATAAAGAATATTAATGACATGGGAAATTTGCTTGAAATTAAACTTTAGAAAGCAACACACTCTTTGGTCAAAATAATGAATTCTCTCTTTACTGTTTATGATACATGACAGAAGAAGTGAAATTTCAACTCACAGTGTTGGAGGAAGTCCACTCCACAGTGATTTAATGCCCTCCATTCGAACAATTTTCACAAAAGCATCCTAAAATAATAAGCAAACAAAGAGCATATAGTTAGCGCTATACTGCTTTCATTCAGATAATTTTCTTAGTGGACATGTGACAGAATTAAAATTTACTTCAAAAGAAATTTGAAAAAAAATAGTATTCTAAAAATGGCCTTTCACACTAAAGCCCCAATTGTGTAAATAGTTATGCTCTTAATTAATTTTAAGCCTGAGTAGTTCTACTGAAGTAAATGGGTTTACTCAAATACTTAATGTTAAGCATGTGCCTAAGTGTTTGCATGACTGTGGTGTTAGTTTAAATCATTAGTACCCATGAAAGAAGAATAGCAGACAGTACTGGTACAACACACACAAAGCATTGCAAGTTCCTCCAGATGACCCCACCACACACTTTTGCTATCATCTGACAGAGCCACCTCTCTGTGTGAGAAGGTAATTCATTCTCCAAGCTTCTTTGGAGATTAGCCTCCGTGATAACCTGGCGAATCCGCCTATAGACATCTTTATGAATTCTGGCTGATTTTATTAAACTGCTACATGGTAGAAAACTTCTGCATGTGTGGAATCTCCCTCCATTATCAGAATGGATCATATATCTCCTAGATTGGGGTAATGAAATGTCACTGAATTTTAACACTCAACTGTGCAAATGACAGCATCCAAGGATAAAGACTTGGCCAAATCCAAGAGCCAGTTTTGTCTAACTGTTCAACCACAGCTGGATTTTAAGGGTTGGAATTTGCCTAGAAATAGAATCTACATCAGTAACGACTCTAAAAACCACAAATTCAGAGAGATCATGATATGGGACTAAAAAGGAGGACTCAAAGGGAGAAGAAAGATAAAGCATGTTGGGGCAGCCATCTCTATCAGCCAAGGTCAAAAGAGAGGGTGGCTGGAGAGAAGGGTGGGCAGACACCATGATTCTGAGGTAACTGATCTACAGAAATAGAGTCCTGGAACCTAAAAAAGACACTGATCCAATTACTAGTGAACACTCTAAAACTGTGAAGGTGGAGAATGACGTACAGGAGTGTTATTGTTTTGGATTAATATAGGGATTTATGTTAACTACAGCAAAAAGTGATTGATTTTGCAAGGTTTGTGTAGTTGAGAGTTTTGGGGGAGGAGAGGGGGGAAATCAGCACTAGCTCTTGGGACCCAAGGCAGTGAAACCACAACACTGTGCACCTGTGATATGGTAACAGATAGCCTGTGCCTAGGAATTATGCAAGAGAGGCCATGGAGTTAATTGCTGGTGTATACTCAGGCAGGAATTTTAAAGCATCTAAACACAGTACTGTGGTGCATATCAAATGGGGAATATTACAGTCTCTAAGAGTAAGGGTGACTATTACTGCTGGTTTTATATTTTGGTGATGCAGACATCACTTCTCAGAAAATGCTGATCACTAAGTACTTTCACTAGTCAACAAACAGCCATCAGAACATAGTACTGTCTGTATTATATTTGAACATGGATCCTGCATTTCCTTATATTACTAAATATAAACAATCAGTTCCTCCAGGGGAAAATGTGACATGGCTCCATTTACCAATATATACCATTTGAGGATCTTGCCAGAAGTCTGTTCTCCTAAATAACATGCTTTTATTTGTGCTAAAATCACATTTAGATAATCAACATTTTATAGGACCCAATATGTGCTGAACACATCATAAGCAAACTCCATTTAATTTAATTTGCTATTTTTTAGCACTTTTTACCATTGCTTACAGAGAAGGAATGTTGTTCTATGCAGGCTAGCTTAGCAACACAGTGAAACATGAAGAACTTGTCAAGTGTACATTGACTGGATAAGACAAGCTTCTTCAGGAGTCATTATTAGCTTTGTAACCAGCATAAAAGCAGGATGTGCAAAAAAAACTATTTTCAGCATTCATTCATACAATCAATCGATCAAACCTGGCCTTTTATGACCAGTTAACTAAATCCCTGGATGATGGTGTTGCCGTGGGTGTAGGCTTCCTGTACTTTAAGGAGGCCTTTGACACTGTGTCTCACCCCATTCTCATTAATAAATTGAGCAACTGTGGCATTGATGCCTACAGTTGGATGGATCAAAACTTGGCTGATGGGGTGCACCCAAAGAGTGGTGGTGGATGGGTCGTACTTGACCTGGCAGGATGTGAATAGTGGGGTCCCCCAGGGCTTGGTCCTGGGGCCTACACCGTTCAACATCTTCATCAGGTGACTTGGACAAGGAGGTGGAAAACACGTTGTCCAAGTTTGCCGATGACACCAAGATATGGGGAGAGGTAGGCACGCTGGAAAGGAGAGAGAGGCTGCAATTAGATTTAGACAGACTACAAAAGTGGGCAGATGAGAATAGGATGGGGTTCAATGTAGAAAAATGCAGGGTGCTGCACCTGGGGAGAAGGAATCCACAACATACATACAAGCTGGGGAGCTCCCCCCTGGTGAGCACAGACGCGGAAAGGGATCTTGGAGTCATTATTGACTCCAAGATGAACATGAGCCACCAATGCCAGATCGCAACCAGCAAAGCCAACTGCACCTTGTTGTGCATCCGAAGATGCATCCTCAAGCCGGTCCAGAGAGGTGATACTCCCCCTCTATGTGACATTGGTCAGGCCACAATTGGAGTACTGTGTCCGGTTCTGGGCACCACACTTTAAGAAGGATGTGGCCTGCCTTGAGAGGGTCCAGAGGAGGGCCACCCGCTTGGTTGGAGGGCAACAGGTCAGGCCCTATGAGGAGAGGCTGAGGGACCTGAACCTGTTCAGCCTCAGCAAGCGGAGGCTGAGGGGGGATTTGGTGGCTGCCTACAAACTCGTTAGGGGAGATAAGCAGCAAATAGGAAGGACCCTATTCCCCTCAGCAGCACCTGGGGTGACAAGGAAGAATGGCCAGAAGCTGCTGGAGAATAGGTTCAGGTTAGAGATTAGGAGGCACTATTTCACTGTTAGGGTGGCTAGGACCTGGAACCAACTGCCTAGGGAAGTGGTCCTCGCTCCTACCTTGGGTAAATTCAAAAAGAGGTTGGATGAACACCTGTCTAGGGTCGTGTGATCCCAGCATGTGCTCCTGCCAGTGGCGGAGGGGCAGACTAGATGATCTGTTCACGTCCCTTCTGACCCCAAACTACTATGACACTACAGTTGAAATTCCAGAGGCGGAGTTACGGGAAACAGCAAGTCCTGAAAGACCTCTCATTTTGGGTGAGATTCATAAAGGAACTCAGGTGCTTAAAATGGGTCTTAGGCACAATATACCCAAGTCCAAGAAAGCAATTCACAGTAATCTGCCTAATTCACCCAAGGAACCTAGTCTGCCTAACTCACACTTAGGCATTTAAGACTCTCTAAAGCAAGTACATTTTCAGAGGAAAACTAACAGGTTCCTAAAGTTCAGCTACTGTGAATAGCTGCTCCTATCCTGTTGGATTGAACATCTTAGTGCCTATCTCCCATCTAAGGCCTTTTGGGTTTCTTAAATTATGCACAAGTCCTCTGACAGGCCTGATCTAGCAGGTATACTCAGGGTATACCTAAAAATGATTGACAGCATTGAGTTTGGTGCCTACAATCATTTTCACTGGAAAAGAGCAGTGGTGGAGTCCACTTTGTGCACACCATCTAAATTCTGGTTCCAGTCCCTGGTGTCAGCTGTTTAGCAATTTAATTCAATGACTTTAAAGCAAAACCTAGAACATCCTCTTTCGCCCCAAGACAAAAAACCCACAAAACTTCTCATTGAGATATAGTCATGCTCTCTCCTGCTTTTTCTCCCTCTGGCCCCATGATGGATATTCCTTTCCATGCAGTGGCCCAGCTTGAACAGGTGTGGAAGGTGCCCTCATTTCATATCTTAGTGGTTATGGCCCTTCCTTAGGAAACAGAAGATATGAAGAGGTCTGAAGCCAGGTCTCCCAGTTCCTGGATGAATTCTCTAATCTTGAAGGTATTTTGTAAGCAGTAACAACCACTCTCCCCACTATTTTTTCCTTATCCTCCTCTGCACACAGGCACCTGATCTGGCATTTTCAGGCTACAAATCCCCTACTCTCAGGCACCTAAGTAGAGAGTACAAGGAAGCACTTTGCTGCTTAAAACTAGGAGGCAGGTAGATTTCAGACATAGTGCCCTTTTCTATGATTCCTGTTAAATGTCTTAAACATGTTCTCTGTTACCATTCTGAGTACTACTAATCTCAATCCTGGGTAACCAAAGTCTCTCTACTTAAAAAACAGAGAATTTAAGCACCAGCTCAGGGTTTGGAATTCTGTCCCTAGAGGCAGAAATCTAAAATTTGGGCATAACGATACTGAGTCCCCATATCTAGGTCCCTTTGTGAATCTTGCCCTTTGAGCCTAGACTGGTGATTTTCAACCAGAGTGAAGCAAGATCCCCAGATGCCATGGAATTATTTTAAGAGTGCTGTGGGGTCCTGCACATATTACCACTGATAGGTCTGCAAATACCTTCATAGGATTCACAAGACGGACATAGAAATTTCAAAGAGGATTCCAAAGTATCAAAAAAAATGACACCTGCCCTGGACTGAGTTCTTTGCAAAAGAAGAATTGCTCTATTATTTTTCCATAGACAAAAAAGCTAAGAGGTATCATCCAACATAAAAAGAAGAAATGGAACAAATTACTCCAAGAACAACTCCCCCAGCCACAAAACAACCATCAGAGGACCAACACCTTCCAACATTCCAACCTCAGACCTAATGAAACTGAAAGCAACCCTCAAATACCATTAATCTCTCCACACACACGCTTACCACCAAAACTGAAAAATCTGTCCTTTCTACAGGCCTAAATTTCTCTCCAGAAAAATACCCTAATAAATACTTCAATGTGGAGAACTAGACAAATTCTTCCGAAGCCTCTGCCTCTGCCTCAAGGAATATTTCCATGACCAAAATTAATCCACTTAATCCATTAACCTTGACTGCTACACTGACTGCTCTGGGGAAAGGATAAACAATGAAATAATCAATAATATATGCCACCATAATAGCCTCTCTCTGCCAGAGAGAAAGGCCATAGAATCTCTAAGATCTAACCACCAAATAGTAATAAAACCAGCAGATAAAGGAGGAGCCATAGTCATCCTAAACCGTGAAGACTACATAAAGGAAGTCAACCAACAACTCTCTGACACCACCTACTACAAAGAACTACAAGAAGATCCTACTCCCGTTTTCACCTTGAAACTCAAAAATACCATCAAATCATTTCCATCAGAACTACAAGAAAAACTACAGGCCTTGATTCCCCCACTACCCAACCCAGAGACTTTTTACACGTTCCCTAAAATACACAAACAAGGGAACCCTGGCAAACTTATCATATCTAACCATGGGACCCTAATTGAGGAAATATCAGGTTTCGTCGAATCAATCCTAAAACTGCTTGTCACCCAAACAGCAAGTTTTGTCCAAGACACTACAGACTTTCTACGGAAACTTAAAAACATAGACCACCTTCCCAGCAACACCCTCCTAGCCACCATGGATGTTACCAGCTTATATACCAACATAGCACACCAGGATGGCATCCAAGTCTGCCTTACAGATTTACAAGAGCAAGATTACAACTCAGAGTACAGACCCAAAGATATTACTAACCTTATACACTTCATCCTCACATACAACAATTTCACTTTTAATAACCAACACTTTACTCCAGACCATGGGCACAGCTATGGGCACCAAAATGGCCCCACAACATGCCAACCCTTTTATAAGCCACGTGGAAGCAGAATTCCTCAAGGACTGCACCATCAAACCCTTGCTATACCTTAGATATATCAAAAAGATATATCAATGACATCTTCATCACTTGGACTGAAAACCTACAATCTCTGATTGAGTTCCATCGGAAATTCAACAATCACCATCCCTCCATCCAACTTGTCTAGAATACTCCACCACCAACATCTCCTTTTTAGACACGATGATCAGTATCCAGAATGATAAAACACAGACCACGTTATACAAGAAACCCACAGGCCAAATGCATATCTGCACAGGACCAGCAATCACCCTAAACACACCAAAAAAGCTGTGATATACAGCCAGGCCCTCAAATACCACCGAATTTGCACTGAAAAGAACACCCGGGATTGCCACCTCACCAATCTTAAAAAGGCTTTCACCCAGCAAGGACATTCCTCCAGAGAGATAGATCACACGTTTGAAAGAGCCACCTGGATACCACGTGAAGTATTGCTGCAGTACAGAAAAAAACCCCTCATGAATCGCACACCGCTGGTTATGACATATCATCCCTCCCTCAAACCCATATGGAAAATCCTCAAACAATTGCAACCCATACTAGAAAGAGACCCTGTTATTAAACAGATCTTCCCAGAACCACCCGTCCTAGCCTTCAAACCAGCACCGAAGCTCAGTAAACTCATCACCAGAAGCAAACTTCCTCAGGTCCAAAACACACCAAATGGATCCAGACCATGCCATGACAAGAAATGCAAAACCTGCCAACCCCCACAATTACTACACCCCACAACAGAGCCATCAGCATCCCTGCATCTTACAGCTGCACCTCCAGAAATGTAATACATCTCATCCAATGCACCAAATGCCCTGATGGACAATACGTAGGAGAAACCAGACAACAACTGTGCACCAAAATGAACGCACACTGGAAATCTATCAAAGACAAAAATACTCAATGACCTGTGGGGGCACATTTCTCACAAGAAAACCACTCTCCTTCCAATCTCTCAGTTCTAATCCTCAAAGGAAATTTACAAAACACTTCCCAGAGATGAGCTTATGAACTTCATTTCATCAACCTCCTGGATACAAAAAATATAGACATTGGATTTATGACACATTATAACCTGCCTAACATCTGACTCCCCAGATACCTCTCCACTATTTAACTGCTACATTCATCCCCCTTTTCTCTCTCCAAGCACCCCCCCAGCCTGTCTCTCACCCACTGACTCCTCAATTTACATCTTCACTGACTGCCTGTCTTGCATGCACACCAGCCCAGCCTTTGGTTTCTTTACTATTCATTCCATCCAAGAAGAGCAAACACCAACTGCAGAGACTTCCTCAAACTGACAAAGGGTTTTTAAACCCAAAAACTTGTAAAACATTTTTTACAACTATTTAAGTTGGTCTAATAAAAGATATCAGATTCACCAAAGAACCTTGTCTCCCTCAAAGCTAAGAGGTGGCATTTTCTGAGTAGTGGCTTGAGTCTAAAAAGGTTGAGAACCACTTGTCTGGATTTTAAGGCTTTCTCAGTCCCGCGGGCTGATTCACAAGATTACAAGATCCAGCACTGTAACAAACTCCATGTGGATTGGGGCAGTATACAAATCAGATAGACAAAATATATTAAGGAGATACTTGATGTATTTAAATATTTGACACATTTTATTACAAATATTACATTACTATGTGTGTTTAACATACATTTACCCATATTAAAAATGCTTTAGAAACATCTTAAAAGTTGATATGCTGCCAATTACCGCATTTACTCACTTATTACATGCACCTTTTCCTCAAAAAATCACCCCTCAGAAATCAGTGTGCATGTGTTAAGCAGAGAGACTGATTTTTCTATTCTTCCATGTTTCTATTCCAGTGAAGAAGCAGGGAGACATTGCATCAAGAAGGCTGCTGTGTCTCTCCCTTTGCCCTTTGAGGGGAAGTGGGCAGAGTTTACCCTTCAAGATCAGAGCTACAGTGTTAACCTTCTTACAGCTGTTGTAGTCAGCATTTATCCATGACTGGCAAGATCTTTTTTCCCCTTCATTCTGCCTTCCCAAAACAGGTCCATGTCTTATTTTGGAGGAGGGGGCATGATTTGTGAGAAAATACATAGATTTTTGAAAAAGAGTTCCTCTATCAGATATTATTTTAAAGACTTTCATTATAAGCATAATTTCCTTACCAACATCCCTTTGAAATGGCCAGGTTTCTTATACCATGCTTTGGTGTTCCCATTCTCACAGACACATACATGATCCATAAGGCCACTGGAGTAGATAAAGCATTTTCCTAACAAAATGGTGCACATAAGGAAAAAAATTAATGTTTGCATTACTCCTGCTCAACAAACATGTTGGTCTGACAAACTGTGACAGAGTAGCTTGGAAAGCTAGTAAAAGCTTCAGGTACTGAGAAAAGAAAGGAAGGATAGTAAAAAATACATCTGCCTAAGATATGCCTACAGTATATCATATGGGCTCTGCTGCTGATTAGGACTTAAGAGAGTCCTAGGTTTTATAAGTAGTTTCTTGTAGGAATACTTAGAGTAGTTTTAGCAATATCTATTTTTTCTTACTCTATAGTACATTATTAAGTACTTTGTACTGTAATGTCTCGTGTACACAGTTGAAATAAAGGAACAGACAGAAGAGTGACTGAAAAATGGCACCTTAGATTTGCTTTTCTGGATGTTCAGTTATATCTGCATACTTCAGTGGCTAAAATAAGGTTTTGCTTCATTTAGATCCTGTTGACACTGAAGAAACTACACAGCTACAGGAGAGTGAACTGAGGTCTTTTCTGGCTCCGCATCAGAAGAATTATTAACCACCCTATATACCCAAATCCAAGATTACTTTGAATTTAAGACAACCCCCACAATACTTTGATTCTAAACATGGAAAATGTATAATTTTTAAATATTTTTCCATATCTAGAATCAAATGATGGAAGGTGTCTTACAATCACCCCCACTGCAGTGGGGCAGGCAATGGGGGGCAGGGGAGTTAAATGGCCTGACCCCTGCCTCTCATCCCCCCCACCACCCTGCCCCAACTATTTTCTCACCTGTCCCTTCAGTTCCTGCCCTAGCCACCACCTCTCTCCTACCTGCTGCCTGCCCCCACAGCACTTACCCTGTGGCTCCAGTTCATGAAACATATGGTTGCTCTGGCCCCAGCCTGCCCCCTCCACCCACTTGTACTCAAATCCAAGATGGGGCTCCCCTCCCATATGTTAAAGGAGGGGGAAAAACCTAGTCTTGAATTTGAGTAAATAATTCCAACAGGCTGCAAACATGTAACAGAGGACAGAAGCTGGTCCTCAGCATGATTACTGAAGAGGAACTGCAAACAAGAAAGAAGACACAGGTAACTTTTTGGTCCCAGGCTGGATTTGCAAGATTGAAAGTTAGAAAATCATCTTTTCACTTGAAATAATTTAGGAAATTCAATTTAAAGTTACAGTGACAGTAAACCAAGGACCAATCATTTTATAGCTATTTTACTGAGCAGAAACACACATAATTATATAGGGGAGAAAATTAAAATGGAAATAATTTATATAGATATAGCAATATGATTTATTCTTTAAAAACACCATTTACCTTTGGTTAATGGATTACTTTGGACTTGTAGCCGAATTTTTACAACATCCAAAGGTGTCACTAAAATAAAGGAAAAAATAATTTAAATGAGAAATGTTAGATTCTTAATTATAATCTTGTTCTGAAAAGGTAAACCAGTACTTTAAGACCTCATCTGCCTCAGGAATATTGCATACACTGCAAAAGGAAAAATGCATAAATTTTGATACCCATATTAGATGTGCTTGTCACTAAAAGCAAAATGATGGTATGCTCTTATGTTCTCAACTGTTTTCAGTTAACAAATTAAATTAAGTTAAATCAATACTAGCTATTCCTAGTGTTCACACACAAGCATTTCACCAGTTAAACTAAATCAGTTTCAATTTCTTGTTGCAGTTGCACTGATAAAATGTCAATGTGTACCCAAGTCTTAAAATGACCTGGTATTTTTGCTGCAAATTTTTCTTTTGGCTGTGTGCAGTCATTCGGTCGTTTGTTTTCTCTTCCCCCACAACTGGGTTTCTCTCTCCAGCATTTCTCTTCCCCCCAGAGCTGCCTTTCTCTCTCCAGCATTCTCTGCTATCTGGAGGCAGTTGGAACTCTGCATGTGATACCATTGTTTGACATAGCCAAGCATTCAGGATTAGAAGCAGGGCCCTGGAGAGCCCAAAATGTAAGCTAATGAGCTGGGTATCCAGGAGAGCAATCATCAGGTAAACATTCCCCCTACCCCCCCTTCCAGTCTCACACCTATTGTCTCCCATGGCCTCTGATCCTCCCTGTCACGCATTTGTATTTTCACAGACCTGCATTTTGCATATTGGCTTCTTTTCCATCCAGGAGAACGCAAAATAACAGCAGACTCTCCCTATGCCAGAAGAAGGGTGTTTGTGCCCGAAAGCATGCAAAGAACAATTCTTCCAGCTATTTAGTTGATCTAATAACAGATAGCACATTTTCCCAAAGAACCTTGTCTGGAGAGCAATGAAGCAGTCAAAGTCAGGGGAGCTGAGCTGCTAAACCTGCAGGTTGGTCCCTTCCTGGCACACATAGGAATAGATTCTGAGTTGAGTTGCCTGGAAAAACACTGCAGGAGACAAATCTACTATATGTGCAGGGATGCTGCAGAATATGGTGCCATTGTACCACATGCAAAGGAAACCTTGATTATAGGTAAGGCAATTATTTCAACACTGCAGCAAAACAATAGGTGCTCAATCCTGTCAGCCAACACTGGACTCTCCTGGTGCCACATTGAAAATCAAAAGCAATCCCACCCATTTCTCTGGGGAAATTCTCATAA